GTTTATTGCAGGACTATTTACAATAGCCAAGAAATGGAAGCAACTTAAGTGTCCATCAGCAGATGAATGGATAAAGATGTGATGCATATACACAATGGAATATTATTCAGCCATAAGAAGAAAACAAATCCTACCATTTGCGACATGGATGGAGCTAGAGGGTATTATGCTCAGTGAAATAACCAGGTAGAGAGAGACAAGTACCAAATGATCATCTCTGGAGCATAAGAACAAAGGAAAAATCTGAAGGAACAAAACAGCAACAGACTCCACAGAACCCGAGAATGGACTAACAGTCACCAAAGGGAAAGGGACTGAGGAGAGTGGGTGGGAAGGGAGGGGGCAGGGGAATAAGGGGCATTACTATTAGCACACATATTGTAGGGGTGGGAGGCATGAGGAAGGCACTATAGCACAGAGAAGACAAGTAGTGACTCTACAGCATCTTATTACGCTGATGGACAGTGACTGTAATGGGGTGTGTGGTTGGGACTTGATAATGGGGGGAATCTAGTAACCACATGTTGCTCATGTGATTTTATATTAGTGATACCAAAATAAAAAAAGATATATATATATATAAGGAATCTAATAAGCCCCACTTATCTATCAAAAAGCATGATCTGGCTCACCAATAAGAGTTCGTTTTCTTTACCAGACCACTGTTACTGAGCCTGAAACATGCCTCCCACCTTTTATGTTAATCTGCCCAATTTATTCAAATAACAGAAGAATGTAAAATAGATTATTAAAAATTGATAGTAGAATCATCAAAGTGTCACTGGCATTATATGACTAAATGCCACTTAGGTGAATCATACATAGACACTATTAACAAATGACACATGAAGGCAGCCCCTACCTGACCCGCAACCATCTCCCTTAAATAAATTTTTAAAAATGCAGAAGCTCTTATAAAGAGAACACTTGTCTTTTTAAAAAAATTATTATTCAGACTCAGGCATTTAAAGAGTTGTCTAAAAACCCTCCAGTCAAATGCTTTGTGCAGCATTCAATATGTAACCCTCTAGCTAATGGAAAAAGCAGGCAGTGGCAGGGAGAACTCGGTTGTCACGCTGAAGAGTGCTATGAAGAAGATTGTCATTTGAAACTCTGTTGTCAGCAATGAAGGATTCCAAATGCAGCTGAACCCAGAATTCTGACTGTGGTATGTTTAAATGTACATCAATCTAGAAATTCTGTATTACCTTTTTGTTTTCTTAAAAATATGTAGAGAAGCCAATTAAGAGTAAGTGGTACTGATTTCAGAATTGAAGATGAGTCTGTTATCCCAAAACATAAGAAATGTGTTTTTAAAAATAAACTATGATCTAAATTGTTATATATTAAGCATAAGTGTCTATCTTGCATGTAGAACAAATACCGCCGCTCTGAAGTTTTGACTGTTTTCAGATGTGTTTGATTATTGGTTTCACTGAAATAGTTACTAATCACTCTACTCTAAAATTAGTTCTAGTTTCAAAATAATATGAAATATAATTACTTGTAAAAGAATGTGTTTTTAAAATGTTCTTAAGAAATTATTTTTATACAAGATGCCTTAGTAAATAATTTCAGTCAAAATAGAAACTCTGAGGAAAAACTCTGAATTTAAAGAAGCAAATCTAAGAGCATTAAATGTTAATATAAACAAGTGACAAAACTATGAAATTCACTGTGATTTAAGCTAGGAAACAAAATTTTTCAACCAGCTGTTTTTATTTTCTCATGGCTTTAAATGTGATAAAAAAAAACTAATTTTGTCCCATTCTGAAAGTTTTATTTTCATTTCTTTGTTTAAAAAAGTCAACTGCTGCCCTTTGGAGATCAGAGGTTCAATTTCCAAGTCTTATCACTTAAAATGGATAATCAGTGATATGGAAATAAATGTTATTTTCTTTAAGAAAAATACTTATATAGCATTTAAAATATAAAAATAAGTGAGCAGGAAAGATGTATTCAAATATATTATCTCTAAATTACTTCCACTAAGACAATATTTAAAGCTTATATCTTAAAAAAAATTTTATTTCATCAAGAACCCAATAGAAAACTACAGTCTGTACTCCATCATAGACTGTTCTACTTGAAAGGCTTAGCTTTTGGTGTTCCTTAGGTAAACCAGAAGACCTTTGATTTTGAGTAAATACAATTGATGGGAGAGAGAGCAATATAAGACAGTCTAAAAAAACAACACAGTACAATG